TGCTTCTATTTTATTGCATTCACATAGAGGAAGGAAAACAGAAATACAAGAAAGTCTGGAACAACCAAAATCTGATAATACCATAAAAGTGGTAAAAGCATCATTCTTAATTCTGTTATAATAACAAACATAAAAAAGGGGGGGGGGTCTATAATATAAACGTTTCTGTATGAACTTAAAAAAGAACAACAAAAGACAAGACAGTATAGGCACTAAATACATACAACCATGAAACATACAAGTGAAAACTATTTGTGATTCTGAATGACAGAAATAAGAGAAGATTTGCAGAATAATCCAATCAACCTTAAAGTCACACCAACTTTCTAACGAGGCAGGGGTAGGCCCAGAGCAACCTACTTAGGTAACCTAAACAAATTATGGGTAATGGGGAAAGATCAGGGAAACGTAGTTTTTTATGAGCATCTGAGCGAAGGAATGAATTTATGGAGAACCATGATCACCGATGTCTGTCACAGATCTGGCACTGGATGATGATGATGATGTGAAAACAACTTATTTGCTGTTTCAATGCGAAAGTTTCTGAATGACAGAAATAAGAGAAGATTTGCAGAATAATCCAATCAACCTTAAATCACACCAACAAGCAAACGTGTTACTTACGGTATGGTCAAGAAAAAACTCAAACATGAAAAAATTAACAGGCTTATTCAAATTTATTAGGTAAACTTAAACCTCAAAACAAACAATGAGCAATCTGTCTACACATAGGAGGTATGCCATTCAAGTGAATACATAATGAATATGTGAGGGTTCACACTTCCTACAGACAAGACAACAATTAGATGTAGAGCCTGTGCTGGGAGACAAGATCGAACAGGTGGTTGGAAGAAGGGTTGGACATCGGGGTATTCAGGTGAGGGGAAAGGGGTGGAGGGCTGATTGCTATCCCTAAAACATCAGCATCTTGCTAGGCCACCACATTATGGCTTGGAAAACACTAACAATACAATAGTATCACAGCAAGATATTAAGTAGACATGCAGATATGGCCATGCCACGCGTAAAAATAGAAAAGTCGCAAAAAATATGGGAAATTCTAAGGGCAAACCACTTCTGATAAGTCTCTCTCTCTCTCTCTCTCTCTCTCTCTCTCTCTCTCTCTCTCTCTCTCTGTCTGTCTATCTCTCTCTCTCTCTCTCTCTCTCTCTTATTCTCTCTCTCTCTCTCATTGGCGAGCACTTTCTTTCCCACTCTTCTACTTTTTAAAAGGCAAAACATACTTTGTGCACTACAATAAAGCTTCACACAAAAAAAGCATTACTTTGCAAAAATCCATTCCAGGAAGCATGGTTTGAAAATAAAAAAGCAGACTTAGGCATCTACATAGAACACATATAGGTCTCCATGAAGTCTACTGAGGAAGCATTATTGCAGAGAAAATGAGTGAAAGTACAAAATATCCTCTGAACTCTTCACATTATATCTATTTGCTTTGTCTTCAGCGTTCTGTCTATTACAGTTATTATCAAGGCATCAGTACAAAAAAGAAGGGCTACAAGCAATAAATACTTTATATGATTGAGGCTATTTTAGGAAGCATTGAATAACACAGAGAGGCAACAAGCATAGAGCTAGGATTATGACTAGATTTAAACTGTCTGTAAACTTTCTGTGCCAGAAAACTGTTCAAGGTATAATGAGCATTCATTTTTTCCCCGTCTTCTCACCTTTCAACTTGCTTGTCACTGAGGTATAGAATAAGAGGTGAGCAAACTAAGACATTTCAGAGCACAGCAAATTTACAGACAACCCTTGCAGAAACATAAACAAAAACCTGACCATTCTCCAGTCCCTTCAGATCCTTATTCCTTCACACAGACATAATCACACACAAAAGAAAAGCCAGCACACTTGGTAACACGGTAGGCACAAAACTTGAGAGGAAAACCACTGAAATCTCATTTGGCTTGGGATCACTATTAACATTATAACATCAAATTATGGCCATTTAGTAATAACAATGATACTTGGATAAAACTAGGCGGAGGGCGATCTTCCTTAAATTCCATCCCAGCACTAGATGTTGAGCCAGTACACCCTAACCAACGAAACCTGCGAAAACAAATTCATTAGACTTTCGATAAAAAAAATATATAGTAATAAAATATATCCTCTTATAATAATAATCTATCGTCCAATCTATCTGACAGTCTCCCACAGGGTACTCTTGAATTGCTCTGAGACGTAGTATGCCGAACAGCAAATCTTTTAGTTTCAGCATATTTAGGGGTAGTGTAATTGCAAGTACACTATTTACTGACATAAAATGCATCTATACGACCACATTTTTACATGTATTTTTAAAACAAAAACAAGGCCTGCCAATCAGCTGAGTTTGCTCAAATCCCTCAGGCCATATTGAGACTGGTTGCGTGAGGTGTTTTTGTTAATCGCTTTGTCCTTTCAGATTGGGTGCTCCACTTCCTACAAAACCTCTACTGAAAGGAGCATTACACCAATCCATGATCAATATCAGACTTGATATATACACGAACAATCTGACAAAACTTTAAAATACCAGTCGATAGAAATATCATTTGACTAGACTTGTGCAATCTTAACAAAATTTGTTCAACATGCGAGGCTCCGAAGTGTAGCCATACTGCCAGGGCAACCTTCTATTTAGTAACTGTAATCCCCTCAACTTTTTTGTCGAGCCCAAGCAACAAATAGCGGCATACCCTTTCTAGTGGGTGGTTGGCAGCTGCTCTGGTGTGGTTTGCTCTTTCTTTTCAAGCAAACATCTATCATCCTTATCTCTCCTCCTTTTCTTTGCACTTGTAGTAACACCTCTAGTCTTTGGTACTTACATAACCTAAGTCTGTTTCAAATGCCATAAAATTCCTTCCCATGATAGGATACTGACTTTGACTCAAATCAATCATACATCTTACATTGGAAAAGGCATGGTGCAGTAAGCAGCAAACTACTATAATTTGGTGGTAACTAAAGTCATCCAGTGTCATAACAAGTCTACTTTTGTAATGGCTATATATACTACAGACAACGGTGTTTCAAAACTCGAGGGAACCACCAACAAGTGTAACGCATGTGCACAGGACCAGAATGAAGCAGTGTCAACTGTAGCTAAAACAAACCATCTCAGAAGTTACTGAAAATATACAGCTTTAAGCAGAATGCACTATGCAATACTTCAAAAGAAAATAGATTTGTAACATTTGTAGAAACATTGCATACTAAATACTAACCAAAAAAAGTCATTGGAAAGAACAAAAAATGAACCACAGCATTGTGTGGAGCTGCAGGCCAGTCAAGGAGCTCCCAAATTTAGCCATTTTCTCAAAGTGTTTGATGCCAGTCTATTTGACAGTCTACCGCAATGTTCCTGTTCTACTTGACGGTGTACGACCGGAACAGTCTGATAACTGTTTCACTTGACAGTCTACTAGTCTACAATAATCCACAACATTATAAATGGCTTCCATTATAAATATTTTGCCTCTTCTTTTATACAGGCTTGGGGTTCTCAATTATCATATTAAAAATGGTCTGCTTATTGTAGTTTGTCGGTTGGGGGTGGCCCTCCCTAATTTCTTGAGGGGGGGGGGGGGGGTGTGGCCCCCTTGATTTCTTGACAAAAGTTAATCAGAGTCAGGAAGTAATAGTATAACATTACTATTTAGAGGCCTTGTGGTTGAACACATTATCACAGTAGACCACCAGGTAGACCATGATCAGACAGGTGGGACATGTGGCAGATAAAAAGCATAATCAAAGTAGATTGTCAAGTGGACTGGCGCCAACTGTTCGATCATTCTCTAGTACACTTCATTAGCTAGACTTGATCAACTCAGCATACTGATCAGGTTGTTACTTCACTCTTCATACATACATGTAACAGATCTTTTTGGCAATATTGTGACAGTTATAGACTCTTACAGCACATAAAAAGGCAAAGGATTAGTGTAAAAGAAAAAAACACATCAATAGGCAATTAAACCATAACACCACCCAAGACAGGAAATAAGTGTCCTTACTTTTTGAGATATAAATTAAATAAGAGTATATGTGAGTGTGTCTGTGTGTGTGTGTGTGAGTTTGCATTTGCATAAGTGTGTGTGTGTGGATGTGTATATGTACAAAATACAGAGATACATCTAAAAGAAAATATTATTATGTTTAGGGGAAGGGAAAAAGGTGGGCCGGGGAAAGAAGTGGATAGGTGGACAACATGTTCACCTCTACATCTCGTTGATAATGTAGGCATTCCAAGAAAAATATTTCTTAAATAGTAAGAAACCAGTTTTGGAATCTCTATACATGATGGAATCATATCAACCTGAACAAATATCAAGTGCTTTCAAGAGTTAAAAATTTTGTCCGTGAGATTTATGCAACTTCCCATCACCATGATAGATATATGAAGTGCTGTAAACACATGACAAAGACAAGAAGAAGTTAAAATTGTGTTTATGTCTCCAGAAAAATTTGGGTTTTGAGGTTTCAGAGGATTACTGGCTACACTGACCACTTTCCCAGAACCAGGCACCACAAAATATTTCTATCTCCTGCTCATACAAGTGAGATTTTTCCAAAGGCAAATGGCAAGAACAAGCAGCAGTTAATGAATGACTAGGTGATATACTCGTGGATGACAAAATGATGTTCTTTATTGTGGAGAGTTCCCATTCACAAACATTCCATATGTGAAATAATTCCCATATGTGAAATAATTCTCACTAGATTCACATCTCATATTCTATCCAGCAGAATTATAGGCCTACATTTCAAAAGCATTACATTCTGCAACTACCACTATCTCTATAAATCACTTTTCAACACAATAAATAACAAAAGGTGGAGGCATATAAATCATCACACCACAAAAAACTAATGCATGGAAAATCCTCCTCCTAGGTAATGCCGCTTGAAACCACATTCAGGCCATTTCAAGTTCAAAGACGAAAACAGACTCACCACAAATAAATAGGTTTAAAATAAAATTGGTAAAAATATTGCACAATGATTGTCTATGTTTAAAAATTAAGGGAAAGAAATAAACCATCTGTACAAAAATTGCACATACAGTACAGTCCAAGTTTCTACTTGTCCTTTAGTTAAACAACAAATCGTTATAATTGTTGAGTAGGCTGACAACACTGGTGGTATAGTTTGTGCAGGTGCGGACAACTTTAACTCGATCAGCTCGCTCGAAATTTGACTTGACCATTTCGTAATACTCCCCGTCGCTCAGCGTGAATGACTTCAGGGAAGGACATCTCAATCTGGGGAAAGAAAAATAAATTACTATAGGCCTACTATTTTCATAGGTGAGGATTTTAAGTACCCCAGATTTCAAATTATTGTATTGTTCATTTGATAAGTCTCAAGCCTTCTTTCGTGAGGTATTTTACACATTCCCCTTAAGCATGTTGAGTCATTTTGAGTGACGTCTTGAAATACATGTACTTATTTAGAGAAATGAAAAAAGAATGAAAATAGAAAAGTCACGGATGAGAACCCAGTTAATGCACCGACAAAAAAAAGCCTTCTTTAAAAAGTAGGCCTAATCAATGGGAGACACATTTTTCAATTCCTTGAAAAAAATTGAAAAATAATCTTTGACGGCTTTGGAGTAAGAAAATCATTGACACCTGCCCAATTTTCTCCTCACAACAACCAAAACGAAAAAAATGGGGAAGCTCAAACTGAACGACGAAGAAGCCAAACTGGGAAAACAAAATTAACACTTCAATTCTGGAGATCAATTACCGTCAGGAAAAAAAGGTATCCCAAACAAGGTTTTGGGGGTAGTTAGCTATTAGGGCTTTATTAAGCACTCCTTTCACATAAAGGCTTCTTTAACCAAGAACGGGAAAAAACTGCAACCTTCTTACCTAACATGGTCAATAAACTTGTTGCTCTTGTCACTGAAGCGAATAGTGTCCGGGTCCCACTGGATCTCACAGCGCTCCAGCTTGGGGCAGTGTTGGGCAAACGCCTCCACAATCTGATCCACATGAACACGAGACTGCATTTTCAGGAACCAGCCGTTTGCAGTTCCCAGGACACAGATTCTGGAAGGAAAAAAATAGGCGAAAGTCTTATTACTGTGGTCTCACACCTTATTCCTATATGCCTTTTTCTCCCTGGAAAAGCCACAATATCAAGTACAGGACGAGGGCATAGGATGTTTGCTTTGCTTCCAGCAGTTCCAAGCGAAATGAGTCACCATCTGTTTCTGACACTTGCCCAGGAACAATAGTGCTATTAGACTAAGAACACAACACACATTACTCTTACAACATATGTAAAGATGTTTTAAGCTACTAACTACAATCACCAAAATGCCAGTGTGGAGAAGCAGACCAAACTGTGGAACACATTCTTCAGCAGTGCAGGACACACATGGCCCTAATACAGCAATAACATGGCCAACCTCACTGATACTACAAGAGAAGCTGTATGGGCTGACAGAAGAAATAAGCAGGGCAGCACAATATATGACAGATACTAGACTTTAAGTGTACTGCAATCGAGAAAAAGAAAGAAGACGGATTTGTTGATCAAGAACGTGCACATACAAGAGATAAATATACAGAAAAAAAATTGATTCCGCCCTGCCATTATGATTTAAGTAACACCAAGCTTTTATCCAGAGTGCTGTTAGCTGGAGACGACTGTATTGCAAAAGTACAGCAATATAACTGGCAAGTGACACTTTTAAACTAAACTATAAGGACAGATTTGGTTATACTTTGAAAAGTGAAGGGATGAAAAAAATGCAAATAAAACGAGGAACATAATAAACTATGGAGACATCCTATTATTTGTACTGCTTTATTTGTTTCGTCAAATCAATTGGCTCCTACTGTTTGGCCTTTCGTCCACCCATGCCCCCCCCCCCAACTCCACCCCACGATCACATTACATGTATTATTATTAGGATAAATAATCATGACTGTAAACAAACATCTCTTTGTAATCATAGTAAGAAATAGCTTTGTTTTACATCCTCACTTATTTACAACTCAGTCAGATGGAAATCTATTCTTGACTCATCTTCAACATCTCAATTTCTTTTTCCTTACACAAACATTTACCACTGATACAAATCATTATTAATATTTGATCACGTGTCTTAAGAATGAGTGCAGAAAGTTACAGCTAAAAAATCCATTAAAAACCTTCCGATCCTTTACATCTATTATAGTCAAATATTCCATCCCTCAAAACCTACAGCAATGATTTTTAGAGCTGTTTCCTTGTTCTGTGCTTGTTTTGCTTCTATTAATTTCTTATCTTGTTACTCTTTGTATTTTATTTTATTTTATATTATTTTTGTTCATTTTATTTTAGTATTTGGTAGACATAGAAAGATACGTGGCGAGGGGGGGGGGGGTATAACTGTTTACTGTTTCCTTATTCTGAACTGGAGTCAAAGTCTGGAACTAAAAATTCTAGATCAAGTCCGATAATTCAGAACGGGAAGAATTTTTAAAAAACCCGATCCACAGCTGTAAGCAGAAGCAAAACGCAGGTGCAGCAGACCTCTTCTCTGCGTTTGTTTATAGCAAACAACGCCGCAGCCTAATCGAGTTGCTCGTCGCTAATCTTTATATCTTTATATCTTTATATTTAACTGTCACAGATTACATCACATCTACAAGCCTTCCTGTGATAAGCAACATGTTTTTTTATGTATCTCTTGCCACCCCTCCTCCTGTTCAAACCAAATACCCAGATGCCATTACTTTTCTTCCAAATCTCTCTCTCTCTCTCTCTCTCTCTCTCTCTCTCTCTCTCTCTCTCTCTCTCTCTCTCTCTCTCTCTCTCTCTCTCTCTCTCTCTCTCTCTAATCGATCTATTTATTTATCCTATCTACCAATCTATCTCTACCATAAGACCCATATAAAGCATGCGTTCGGTTGAGTAAAGAGAAGCACATCGACTCGATAACAGTAAAGTTATTTAGATTAGGGGAAAAGCAAGAGAGACTGATAGAAGCAACGGAAGTAAAGAAAAGAAGCAGGAGTATCACTAGCACCCTCCACCCACCCACGTACTAATGAGGGAAACATGGGCGTGCGGCATATACTGCAGGGTGGTCTGCCCCTGTACTTTTAAATAAAAGAATCACGATTTTTAACTCTTAGTCTACGCAAGGCTATTCTACCTTCATATTCAGCCAACTAACTCATCCAATTTTTCACTACACACATTCCCAAGAACCACGCCCCTATTTTACCTGTTTGCATAAAATAAACGCCACCTTGACTAGAAATGAATGCTGCGTGCAATAAACGTACAGTAAGATTTCAAGATGAAATAACTGGGGTTTCAAAGATCTCACTATTTCTGTAAACTAGGCAGAGGGAAAAATACAGCCCGCGAGCCAGATGCGGTCTGCAGGCAATTTCTATCTGGCCCGCGAGTTGAACACGTCATTAATAATGAGAATACAATTGATAAATAATTTATACTGCACGTCTTGAAAACTAAAATTAGTAATTTCTCACACAGATGGTTACTGGGGATCAGATGGACAGACAGGGTCACCAATGTGGAAGTGTTAAGGAAAACAAGACAGATCCCAGTCAGAGATGAAGTAGGAAGAAGGCGGTGGCAATGGATTGGACATACTCTCAGGAAGTGAGGCAGCTGCATAACAAAGAAAGTTTTGGATTGGAAACCACAGGGTAAGAGATCTAGGGGAAGACCTCGTGGAACCTGGAGAAGAGTCACAGAAATCGATGTACAGAAAAGTGGGAAGACATGGAATGACATCAAGTGGCTAGCCCAGGATAGAGAAAGGTGAAAGGTGTTTGTCCGTGGCCTATACCCTGGTGCAGGGTGAGAAAGGCAATGAAGATGATGACACAGATGGTGTTCGTCTTGAAAACTAAAATTAGTAATTTCCTGCCCAGATGGACGAAATAGACAACATTGTACAAATATATAATCTCATGAAATGCCAGAAAGTGACATGACAGTTTGTTGTAGTGTCAGTTTTATTTCAACCCATTTCACTCAATTTTCTTCTGATTTCGCCCGCTTAATCAAAGTCGCTTAATTAATCCGGCCCACGACTTCGACAGGCCTGACTTGCCCATACCTACAGTAAACAACCGAGGAGATGCCGTGTGTCTTCTAAACCGGTGCATCGTACACAAAGGGTTAATCTGTTCTAGGCTAAAGGCGGCCATTACCCCACATAGCCTACTGACTCACCGTGAAAAAAATGGGGGAAAACAAACGCGAAAATAAACTTGACAGCAGGTAAAGGAAGCAGCGAAGGATACACGCTAGGGTAAGCTTTTAGTTTAAGCATATCGACTAGATAACGGTGATTTAGTGTTGATGAAAAGTGAATCATACAGATAGAAACGAGTGGGGGGGGGGA